ATCATTACAGTGCAAGCCCAGGTGCACACACACAATACTCCATGGCTCTAGTTTTTTTTTTTAATACTGCACACATATGCATGTGCACTTAGAATAAATGTATACCGTCAATGAGCAGAACAGCCCAGTTTTCTGCAAACACACAACGGGAAAAGCAAGTAATGGAATTATTAGAAAAAGAACACATACATAAAAGTAAAAGAAAAAAAGTAAAAAAAAGTTATTCGAATTAAAAGATAAAGCTGGTAAACAGATTATTAGTTTATTCACCCATGGGGGATGTACGCAATTATGATTATGTTACTTCAACCATTATTATTATTATTTGTCCTCAAGTGAGTCCCACTGTTCAGTACACAGTAGCGGAGACCAACACAGCCACAATCACCAGCGGTGCTGCATTGCGCATCCACACAGGACTGACACTGCTGCTGTCAACATTGGCCTTGTTCTGTACGGTGGAAGTGATGTTGTTGCTGATCTCTGTGTTGGGTAAAGGAACAGGAGATGGAGTGGTGGTTGGTGCTTCTTTGGTAGTGTTCTCGGTGCTCGGCTGAGTAGTGGAATTGGTTACTTGTGATTCTGCGGCAGTCACATTAACGGGAACAGGAGATGGAGTGGTAGTTGGTGCTTCTGTGCTAGTATTAGTGGTGGTGGCTGTTGAATCAGCATTACCATTCTCTTGTGAAGCTGTTGCGTTAGTCGTACTTGCCTCTGCAGGAGATGCTTGCTCGGTAGGAGTAGAGTTGGTGGTGGACGTTGAATCAGCGTTGCCTTTTTCTTCTGAACTCGATGTAGCAGTTATAAGTGGAGCTGCAAAAGCGTCATTCACCTCTGAATCTGCTGTAGTAATCGTGGCCGGCTCTGTAGTAGAATGCTTTGTTTGATTGTGGTGGACTGGTGTGGTATTATCACCTGTGTTATTCGAAGCTGCTTCGTTAACGTGTTTAACTGTATTAGAACCTTGAAGTTGGTTTTGTCCTGTCGTCGTATCGACTCCTGTTAATGTTGTACCTGTCCCACCATCACCTAAATTAGAAGACGATGATGTTATCTTCCCTGCAGCTCCAACCTGTGGAAGGTGTGCCTCGCCATAATTTTGAGATTGTGGCTCGTCCTCAAGACTGTATTTTGTGCTTTCAGAATTACGTGAAGGTGGTGTTGGTGGTGGTGGTGACTCAGGTGGAATAGGATAAACACGATCCCAATCACCAGGAAAATAAGTGGGATCTGTGCCTTTTATTGGTGCAAAGACATAATGTGTGTCCGTAGTACTACTTCCAGCACTTCCTGTGTCGACCATCACCGCCTTTGGCTGTCCAGTATTAACAGTAGTAGTAGTAGCATTGGTTGTTGCTGTTCTTGCGGTACGCTGGCGGCAGAGGTCTGCGTACTTCCCACATGCAGACACACGGCTGCCCGCACCGCATGTAAGCCACTCGCTCTCAGCAGCGGGGCGTACACGCAGC